CCTGTTTCTTCTACCCCATTTGCTTGCCACAGATCTGTTAGGCAAGTTTTGTAAAATGGTTACCTTGAGTTAGTGAAAACGCTGAAATTTAAGCATTTGAAGTCCACTTGTTCCTCAGTTGGATGTCAGGATAGCACTCGTACCTGCACCAATTTGGAAAGAGAGCGAGTCCAAGAGGACTATGTCCAGCAGCCAAGGTCAGTGACTCACATCCAGCACCAAGGAATGTTTTCAGGTGCTCCATCCCCCTCAAAATCTCCATCATAACCTGAGTCCTTCAGGATTTGGGTGTACTCTCTGATAAAAGGGGTTTTTCTTTGATAGGTTTTGGAAGAGTACCTTCCCAGCTTGTTTAAGCCATCACTTAAATAAATGACTAATCATTTCCTCAAGGACCCCCTCTGGCAGGGTCCAACATCCATCCCTGTTTCAGTTCTGGTGATCCAGTGTTATGTGGGCAGGGAGGATATCAGTAAGATAAAGTGGGACCCACAGTATCTTCATAGGACTAAAGAAACTTTGCTGTTTGTGCGCACACGACAAACACCAAACACACTTTCCCCTTTCTTAAGGGAAAGCCATGTCCGGTGACTTGCTGTCATCTCTGAAACATATAAATGTCCTGAATGGAAGACAGCTTTCACCTTGCCCTTTCTCTGTAGCTCACATGCCCAGAGCTCTCGCTCATCAGGGTGTTCCCCTCTGGTACTGAGCACATGGTGTGTTCTGTGCCCGCATGGCCCTGTTGGAGGATATACTCTCTTGACTGGAGATCAGTACTCTGGTAGTGGTACTGAGGGCCCATTTAGCTCTATTTACACACACACAAAAAAAAAACAAAGGAAAAAAAAAAAAAGAAAAAAAAGGCATTCTTCAACATGGCTCTTCTTACAGAAACCATTATTCTCTTCAAGCCCCTGTTCCTTTCCAGCTGCTCCAAGTTATAAAACCACCTGCGAGCCATTTAGTGATTGAGAGCTGCTGGAAGTCTAAAGAGGTTTTCCTTTACTTCAAATCTTACTAGGTAAAGCAGTGAAACTATTTTAGATTTAGCTTTCATGAATTGAAATAAAGGCAGTAAGTGCATGAAGAATTCAGATATAAATGTCATGGCATCTGTTTAATCTTTTCATTATGCTTTAGGTCTCAAACACTTTTTAAGGAGAAGTAAAATCTGTTTTATGTACAGAAGTGGGTTTGATAGATGTCCATCAGAAAGATCTGCCTACTCCCACATCTAGAGATACATGAAGCTATGGTAGAGGTAGCCCAACTTCTTTAATTTTAAAAATTATTTCTAAAGTTTTAGTCTTTTTTATTTTTTAAAAAAAGTTTTAAGCAGAGTAAGGTACAAAAGTAAGACTGAGAGTAAGTGCAAAAACGTAAGACAGGAAATAACATTTATTCCTGTGAAGACCCTAAACCCTCTTTGGGGGCAGCCATCTACAGCTTTGCAAATACCAGCGTTGAATATTGGCGAAGATCTTGCCTGGTGAGCACGGCCAAGCAAGAAGTGGTCAGACCTCCCCAAGGCCGCGTTCAGCCCTGAGGCGGCTCTGAGGCAGCTCTGAGGCGGCGCTGAGGCGGCACCTCAGGCTACCCGGGGAAACGGGATTCTCCTCCTGTTCAGCCACTGCGTTTTTCAGTGCTGGTTATTTCCCTTCTTAAAAATAAGCTTAACATCCTACCTACATTTTAAATTTTTATGATTTAGCTTCTGAAATTCAACTAAAAAAAATCCTGTCTTTAAAATATACATTTATATATACTCTCTATCCAGTGAAGAAAAAGGACATACACGTCTCTGTAAATGAGAACAGTTGTCAAAAGAAAAAAAGTTTTAGCTCTTTAGTTTTCCATATCTGCATTGAAAAAATATACTTGAAAAAAAAATTTTAAAAGGACTTAAGGATTTTTAAAGGATTTTACATCTCTTTAAATACTACTGATATTTTGCTTATAATCTGCTAATACCACCTTTCATATATTACACATAAAGACAGAAGAACAAACCCTTTTCCAGTGTCCTTATTTAGTTTCTGCATACTGGAGGTATTTTTTCCAATTATTTGCATAGCTTTATTTTACACTCTGGGTAAACTATACCCCAATTTTCTCTTAAAAAATCAGCAAAATAAAACAGTAAAACAGTATATGCAAACTGTCCCATAAAATCACTGTAGGCAGTTTCTGGGACTGCCTGTATCACAGATCAAATATAGCATATTAGATCTTGTCCACTGAAACATTTTATATATGACTTGAAAACCACATATAACATTTTGGAGTAATTTACAACAGAGACACACTGGGAAATAACAGATTACTTGGCAGGCGCATTTTAAGACTTGAAGAAGCTGTTAGCATCCTCTATTTTACCTTCTTGGAAAAGTGAAGAACTTAAACTGGCAATAGCTGCAACAACATTTTAAATTGTCGGAATTATAGTACATCTTTTAGAAACTTTTAGAATCTTTTAGAACTATACTACTCGGTCTTGATTGAAGGATGTAGGTTAATGGAGATGTTCCAATATGCTTACAGTTAAAAAAAAAAAAAAAAAAAAAAAAAGCCCTTTAACGCCTGCCTGCAGTTTTAAGCCCTGGAGTGCAGTACCTTGTGTGAGGTAACAGATGGAGCCACAGGCACAGAGGGCATTTCCTTCAATAACACTGTTAAAAAGCAGCTTTCTA